TTTGCCAGGGCCCAGGCTCTGATGGGAGCTGCAAGAGATGAAGAAGTGAAGGGGGATCTGCGTGGGGACCTAAAAGGCCCCAAACCCCCGGCAGGTCTGGAGGGGTCATGGGATCCCTGTGACGTAATGCCCCATCTGGTAAATAGTACATCACAGTAGTGAAACTTTTTTGCATGATATAATTCATTCTTTTAATAATTAATGTTGCTGGTACCTTCCTAAGAGTTCTGAAGGTAGTTAACAAAGAGTAGAAAGACTGATTATTTATCAGACTTCCAAAAAAATTCCCTGTGGAAAATATAAGGGCTATAAATTTGATAATTATAATTTCCTCCCACAATCCTCACTTCCAAAAGTGTTACAGACAGTGCCCTTTGAGTTCAGCACTTTGCTGTGCCCTGAAGGTTCACTGCTGGTATCTCCAAAAGTCACTCTAAGTAGCTAATAGAAAAGCCTGGCTGAAAAATGATACCTCTTTGTATAACTCTGGGGATCTATGAACTTTCTGAAGTTGTTTATTGCCTTCTGAGGTTAAGCACTTAGTCGTTCCGACTCTTACTAGATTAAAAAAAAAAGATTTATTTATTTTTATGTATATGAGTGTTTGCATGTATATAAGTGCACCACACGTGTGCAGTGCCTATAGAAACCAGAAGAGGGTGCCAGATCCCCAGTAACTGGAGTGACAGCTTGGAGCAAGCATGTAGGTGCTAGAACACAAACCCAGGTCCTCTGCAAGAGCAGCCAGCATTCTTTACCACTGAGCCATCTCTCCTTAAACACCCACACACGCACACACACACACACACCCACACACGCACACACACACACACACACACACACGCTGCCACCAGGATGCACACACACACACTAGATGTGTTGTCTTGTTGAACATGGGGAAATCCATTCATTTTTGCGTTTTCCTAGTAACATATATAATTGCTCTACAGATTTTTTAAAAAGTGTGTGTGTGTGTTGCATGAGTTTATATGTACCAAATGCATGCAAGTGTCTGCAGAGGCCAGAAGAAGGCATCAGATTCCCTGGATCTGGAGTTACAGATTGTGAGCTGCCCCATCTGGGTGCTGGGAACCAAACCTGGCCCTCTGTAAGAACAGTAAATACTTTAAACCACTGTGCCATCTCTCCAACCCCTTAAAGATTTTTAAGTGTTTCATGCTGATTTTTAAATTTGTATTACATTGTGTGTGTGTGTGTGTGTGTGTGTGTGTGTGTGTGTGTGTGTACACACTCTTCGTGAGTCAGAGAACAATTTGCAGGTTGTCAAGTTTGATGGCAATTGTCAGCCCTGGATATTTTGTTTCTGAAATCCGAGTCAGGGGCTAGGGCAATAGCTCAGTTGATAAAGTGCTTGCCATGTATGAAGACTAGAGTTCAGTCCCCAGAACCCATTTACAGACACTGGGTACAGGAGCACGCCTGTAATCCCAGTGCTGAGGTGGCAGATGAAGGAAGATCCTTAAGGCTTAGTGGCCAAGTATCCTAGTCAAATCAGGGAGCCCCAGGCCAGTGAGAGACCTTGTCACACCAAACAAGGTGAAGGACTCCTGAGGTGTATGTAACATTCAAAGTTGTCCTCTGGCCTCCACACATAGGCACACATATATACATACATGAGCACTCCCTCAAGCACCTCCACATACACATGTAAAATTAAAAAGTTCTGAGTTTTTGGAGCAGGTGTGGCATCCGGAGTCATCTAAGTTTAGGTTTTTGCCGTTGCTTGTCGCCTGGGTGTGTCTGCTTTGTTTCTGAGACAGGGTCTCATGTAGCCCACGTTGGCCTCACACACTCTATGTAGCCAAAGTTGACTTTGAATTCCTGATCTTCCTGCCTCCACCTCTGGAGTGCTGGGGTTCTAGGTGTGCACAGCCATGCCTGGCTTATGCAGTGCTAGGGATCAAACCCAGGGCCTTGTGCACGCTAGGCAAGTACTCTACCAACTGACCTACCTCTCCAGCCACATTTAGGTTTTGTTATCAGGGTCGTAGAACTAAATCAAACATCATGCTGTCTACGTGACAGCCCTTGTTGGGGGAAAGTGGAACCAGCTGCAACCTGATTTTCTTCCCAGGGACTGCAGCTCATCGGCCTTTTCTGCCGACGTAAGCATCTATTGCCGGCCTCTAAACGATATGCTTGTGTTATTTCTTACTGGCTTTTCTCCATTTGGAAAATTATTTTACTAGCTTCCCCAACTGGAAGGTGAAACTTTAATGTTTTTCTATATCTCTCTTCCTCCACCGTATAAACTTCCCACATGCCTATTTCCAAAAAAATTGTATTTCTTTTGATTCGGTCTGCATTTGCTGTTTATATATGCATGCAGTATATATATATAGTTAAGCTTAGTTTTTCTTTTGTTGTTTCTTTTTTTTTGAGACAGTTTCATGTAGCCCAGACTGGCCTTGGGACTACAGGCCTTCACCCTCTACCTGGCTAGTATTTATATTTTTATACCTCTGTAAATGTTACCCATAAATGTAGTGCTTATTAAATTTGCTTTTCCATTTCACCCCTTTAAAAAGTTCTCTAGAGTTTTTTTAAATTCCCCTTTTTTCAATATATGTCTGTCAGTCATCCATCCCCAGATTTTGCCAATCTGCCCTGAGTGTGTCTGTCCCCTGTTGCTACCGTTTGTCTCACCTGCCTAGCATGGCTCTCTTGGAGTGTCCTCCAAATGCCTAGGCGGCCCCTGCACAGATCACCCCTCCGTGGCTTCATCATCATGACAGTGCCCTGTGTGCTCTCATGTTGGGCTCTATGCCTTTCTTTACATTAAAAAAAAAATCTCTGGGGCCACAGGGAAACCCTGTTTCAAAAAGACCAAAAAAAAAAAAAAAAAAAAAAAAAAAAAATCTAGCTCTTCATTTTGTTTGAGTACATTTCACAGTATTTCCTTGGAGACTATGTGATTGATATAATTTTGAGGTTTTATGTATTTGAAAATATCTTTTGTTTACAAACTTGGTTTGCCTGCTTGGGGAACTTCGAGCTGAAAATCATTTCCTCTTGGAACACTGAGGGAACGGCTCCATGGTCTTTACTGGTTTTGCTGTTGATAGTGTGACAGAAGTCTGCCATCTGTGGCCATCTGGCATCCTCATTCCTTATCCCTCTGGGAACTGGAGTTACAAAAGGTTGTTAGCCATCATGAGGGTGCTACCCAGGTCCTCTACAAGAGCAGTCAGTGCTCTTAACCACTGAGCCATCTCTCCAGCCCCAATCTTTTTTCCTTCTATAAATATGTTTGTTTGTAGGGGATTGATTTACATTGATTACGCTGATCTTTGCTTTCTTGTATTTTCTCGACTTTTTATTTTTATCTTATTCTATCTGGTGTGTGCGTGCGTCTGTGTGCGCACTGTGTGTGTGTGTGTGTGTGTGTGTGTGTAGGTCAGGACAACTTTGAGGAAGGAGTCAGCTCTCCTTCACTTTGCAAGGTGAGGTCTCTCTCTGATGCTTTTCCTTCTCCTCGCTGGCCTGGGTTATTCCCCTGTCTTCGTCCCACCCCAACTCTGTCAGAGTGCTTGGATTGTGGACACCACTGCACCTGGCTTTTTATGCGGTCCTGGGACTGATCTCAGTTCAGCAGGCTGGCATAGCAAATACTTTTACCAATGAGTCATCTCTCTAGCCCTGGATGACCATTTTTTCTTAAATGAAGTGGGTTTGGAGCCATGGTAAAACCTTGACTACACCTGGTTTGCCCTGACCCCCCCTGCACCTTACATGAACTCCTGGCAGGATCTTCAAGTCTATATTCTGGCTTAAGTTCTAAACTTTTTGCTCATTTTCTTATGAAACCATTGAAAAGCTCCCATTTATGCTGCGGGAATTTTTCTTGGTCAGGTTTCAGGTTCCATTCTGCATGCCCCAGCATTCAGCCTGTGTTCTTAGTAGAAAACTGTAGTGTGCTTGAGGCCAGCCAGATCTTCATCAGAGCTCACCTGGGTTTTCAGTTCTTTGGTGGTGAACTTGATAGGCACAAATACCAACTTCTATCTGCATTTCTTTTTAAAAAAAAATTTATTATTTTTTATTTTATGTGTATGAGTGTGTTGCCTGCATGTATGTGAGCGTACCTGTGTTGTGCGATGCCGCGGAGGTCAGAAGAGGGCTTCAGAGTCCCCTGGAACTGGAGTTAAGGCCGGTTTTTAGCCGCCTTGTGGGGCCTGGGAATCGAACCCAGGTCCTCTGCAAGAGTAGTCAGTGCTCTGAGCCATCTCTCCAGCCCCTGCATTTCTTTTTTAAAAAGTATTATTTTTAGTGTCTGAGTGTATTGCCTGCATGTGTATAAGTGCACCCATGTCATGCAATGCCCCTGGAGGTCAGAAGAGGGCATCAGATCCCCTGGTACTGGAATTACGGATGGTTGCTGGCCATCATGTGGGTGCTGGGAATCAAACCCAGGTCTTCTGCAAGAGCAGTGCTCTTAGCCGCTGAGCCATCTCTCCAGCCCCTCTGTCTACATTTCAAGCTAGCTTGAGGACAGTGTTCCCAGGTGAGAAATGATGGAAGGTCAACTTGTGGCTTCAAGATCTTCCCATCTCAAGAGTGCAGCTCTGTCAGCACTCAGCACCCTCCGCTGCTTTCCAAATACTCTTTTTGTCAGGTTTTCTTGGTGGGAGAACTGGACTGTTGCTCTAGCCACAGTGTCTCACTTGTTACCAGAGACATCGGGATTGAATTCTTATTTCAAAAACAGAGGAAAGATTTTACAGTTGTTGTAGTATTGATTTGGACTGGTGTAGAGATGCTCCGGTGCTTTCTAAAAATGTCAACATGAGACACTTCAACGGTGCACTTAATTTTTTACTCAGGCTTTAATGTAGACTTTGAGAGCAGAATTTAAAAATTCATGATTTTGAGCATTAGTCAGTCCAGACTTGTAGAAAATCACAGATGTAGTTTGTATGTTTAGAGGACAACGGTGTCTTGGGTGGGGTGCTGATACTGTATACCATCTTATTTTGCAGCATCTAACGTTCACGAGGGAGTTTGACTCAGATTCCCTCAGACATTACAGTTGGGCAGCAGATACCTTAGACAACGTGAATCTTGTCTCGAGCCCTGTTCACTCTGGGTAAGTGACCTGTGTACCATTTTTCTTTACCCTGTTGGACACATGGTGCATTTATTATTTAGAGTTACTCATGCATGTTGAAAGTCTTCATACCTGTGAGTGTATTCACTGTAAAATATATTCTTGTTAGTAAGAACCTGTGATGTGCATTTCTAAATCATTCAATAAGTATTTTGGGGGCAAGTCTATGTTTTTATTGCTGAAAGCAAGTGTCAGAAAAATATTAATTATTGGCACAGCAGTATTTCCTGGCTATTCAGATCTTCTGTAAATTTTTAAATTTCCTTTTCAATTAAAAATATTTTAACAATCATTTTTTCTTAATTTTATTTCTCAAATGAAACTTTTATTTTTATATTTGTATCTGGATTTTTCTTCCTTTTAAAAATACTAAATATGAGCTGGGTGTGGTAATGCACACCCTTTGAACCTAGCAGTCAGAGGGCAGAGGCAGGTGGATCTCTGTGAGTTTGAGGCCATCCTGCTCCACATAGTGAGTTCCAGGCCCACATAGTGAGTTCCAGGCCAGTCAGGGCTATATAGCAAGACCTTGTCTCAAAAGAAAATTAAAAAAAAAAATTAAATGTGGGATTGGAGAAATAGCTCAGTCAGTAAGGTGCTCACCACATAAGCCTGCAGACCTGAGCTTGATCCAGAACCCACGTAAAGAAAGCTAAATGTGGTGGCACACAACATGGTCCCAGGGGAGGCAGAGGCGTGCTAATTCCCAGGGCCTGCTGGCCAGCTAGCCCAGCCTAGTGGGTGAGCTCCAGAGAGACTCTGCCTTAGAATGCAAAGAGACACGTCCTGAGAACAACACCCATCATTGACCTCTGGCTCTCAAATGCACAAATAGTCAGGAGCATACTCAACTATACACATACATGTGCATTTGGACATACATGACTACGTGGGCACACACACACAAAAACTGTGTTATTTCTGTTGATCTACTTCACTGACTGACTCTGTGCTTCCAGTTCATAGTGCAGTTCCAAGCCGATGTTTAGTTTCTCCGTGAACACACTCTGCTGTTCGCCTCTCCCTCTCATTGCCAGCCCAGTTAACAGATGATTTGTTCTGTATGATTACATTTTTTTTAAAAGAAACTAAAACTTAAAAGCTTCCAGTTGGAGCTGGTACCTTCTACATTACTGAAATAAAATTGCAATTAAGTTGTATTAAATGATGAGAAAAAAGAAATGAATCTTAAAAGAAGATAAATCCACTTTTAAAAGGTGACCATCCAAGGGCTGGAAAGAGAGATCGGTGGTTAAAAGCACTGGCTGCTCTTCCAGAGGACCTGGGTTCAGTTCCCAGTACCCACATGGCAGCTAACAACCATCTGTAACTCCAGTTCCAGGGGATTCAACAGCCTGTCCTCCACAGACACTGCATGCATGTGGTACACTTACACATGCAAGCAAAACATTTATACACATAAAATAGAAATAAAATTTTTAAGTTTTGTGGCCATACTATTTATCCCCGAAGTGCTGATAAAAACCACAGTAAAGAGAACCTTATCCTTGATGCACTGGCCAGTGGAATTCAAGGCAAGAGGCTAAAAGGTGACTCGTGATAACTGATCTGATAAATCAGTGCACTTTTAGGTACTGGACTCTTTAGTAGGTGATTCACATTTGAGATAATTGATATCCATATAAACAAAAACATAATTGTCAAAATAATAAATACTAGGCTAGAGTGATGGCTCAGTGGATAAAGCTCTTGAGGCTGGGACACAGGATTCCCTGGAAGCCTGGCATGTGTACACTGAACAGCAACAGACCCTCCTAAGACCAGGTAGAAGGTGAAGACCAATGTCCAAGGTTGTCCTCTCACCTCCACATATGGCACAGGGACACCCATATTGACACACACAAACCCACACATGCATACACTACACACACATAAACACATATACTCTATACACACACATATACTACCCACACATATATACTACACACACATAAACACTATACACTATACACGTATACACTACACAGACATACACATATACACTACACACACACAAACATACACATATATACTACATACTCACATATACACACTACACACACATACACACATATACACTATACACACCTATACACTACACACACATATATACTACACATACATATACACTACACATATCATGTCCACACCTTAAATAATAATAATAATACATATCTCAGGATATGTTTGCCTTTGAAATCAACATCCAGGCTATAAACTGGCTATGATTAAGAACAAGGGAAGACTGGGAATTAAAGAAGATAGTGGCAGGTGACGCTTGCAAAGGACCTGCAGCATTAGTAAGTGGTTGTTTTCCGCTCCATCTACCTGGATTGCAATAGCAAACATGTTTCTCTCCATGTCTGTGGCATTGTGCTAAGTGTTGTCCCATGGACATGTAGTCAGACCGTCACATGGCACTGAGACAAGTCACTGCCTCCTTTCATAGGTAATTCTGAGACTCAAAGGTGCTACAAGGTATAATATAGAATTTTGCCTTGGAATCCCACAATTCCGAGAAGGACATCAATGTGATGTCATTTGAATGGTGATAATTTACATGAAAAATGGCTTATGAGTTATAGATTGAATAGTTCTATTTGAGTCAGTCTTTGCATTTCTGTAACTCAGATAGAGACTGAATTATATTAACATGAATTTGTGATTATTTAAAATACGTGTCTGCTTTGTGCTGTGCGGGACCAAAATGTACAAGCTAAAAAGGCCAGATTTGAGAAGGAAAGTCTGAAGACACTGGGGCCATTCAGAAGACAGACAGGCCACTAAGTTTTTGGCATCGAGCTTAGCGAGTAGTCACATGGAGTCAACCCTTTCCACATGGGAAGGAAGCCTTCCAGGGAGCAACTGAGAAGTTAGGACAAGACGGTCCGATCAGAAATGTGCAGCCATTGGAAAGGATGAAGGATTTGAATATGGAAATTATCTCCCCTTTCCCATCAATGTCTCCTGAAGACTATTAGGCATGTTGACACAGCAAAAGTCATGACAGTCGTGTGGAAAAAGATAGACTGTGATCTCTTGAAAATATCATACTTATGATACCAAGTCTGGGGACCACGTTCCGTAGCTCTGAAGGCAAATGTTTGTCCAGGCTGTCCCATAAGTGCTATGGCATCGTTTTCTGGTTTTTTTCCTGGCTTGTCATTGACATTTTCTGTTGCTTGCTTCTAATGACCTTACATTAATTTCTCCCATTTGCTTTCTAAATTATTTTGCAGCTGTTCCTCTCCACTTCCTCAGTATGACTCAAGGTGATAACCGTGTCTTTTATGTGAAACCACCCTTTATGTGTATTTAATTTACGTGACATTCTCTTCATTGATCGTGTCAGTAACCATCGTGTGTCCACACCTGTCCTTCTGCCGTTTACAAAACTAGACTCCTCCAGTCCTATAACGAGATGTAGCTGTTATAGGATCATCTGTGGAACTCACGATGTAGTTTGAGTAATAGATAATCTTCTTGGAAGCATCACTTTCATGTGTTTCTCTTTGTTTCTGCACATTGTGTTGCATGCTCTTTTATGTTTGCACAGATTATGTAAGGAATGAATTCAGTCCTACAACGAGATGTAGCTGTTATAGGATCATCTGTGGAACTCATGATGTAGTTTGAGCAATAGTAAGATAATCTTCTTGGAAGCATCACTTTCATGTGTTTCTCTTTGTTTCTGCAAATTGTGTTGCATGCTCTTTTATGTTTGCACAGATTATGTAAGGAATGAATTTGGAAAACAAATCACTATAGTTCACGATGTTACTGAACAGCAGAATCCATGCCCTGCTTAACTCCATTCTCACCTTTCTCGAGTCTGTTAGTCCTACAAAATGGGAAAATTTAGAACAATAGACGATCGTCAATAAACACCCACCACGCAGTGCGTGCCATGCAGAGTCCAGAGAGAGAAGTTCTTCCTGTTTGTGATTAAAATCATCTTAGACTTAATACTTTGTCCATTTGATTCCGATCGTCTCTGAAGCTGGTACATTTCTGTATTGGCTCTAATAATTTTCGAACGCTGCCTTTGGGTCAGTCAGCTATAACCATCCCGTATCTCCATCTGCCCATCAGTTCATTAGTGTTAGTACCAAGTCTCAGCTTTTCCATTCCTGAGCACACGAAGCAAAGTTTGACTCATCGGTTGACTCAGCTGGCATTGGCTGTGTGTTTGCTGTGTGCTGGAACTGTGTTCGGCCCTGTAAATACACCAGCCCTGACCTGAAGCACTGACCGTATCGTTGAGGCTCAGCTGTTGCCACCGTAACATTCCCCATCCACGGAAACACTCCAGTGTGTGTTTGTACTAGTACAACCCAGTTTTCAAACCCAGAGTTTGTCTTGAATCGTTCTTAATCCATTCTGCTACTATTGTACCCGGTGACAATTAGTTTTCACTACTAATTGCAGAGGAAGATCAGATGGTCACTAATAAACACCAACGATGTTGGTAATAAACACCAGAGTTACAGGCTTTATAATGTTGTTCTAGTTCCTTTGTTATTGACTGAAATCAGTTGATTATATATAATCATAATATATGTAGATATGAATGTTAGAAAATATAAGTACCACAGAAACAGTTTCAAGTGAGCTGCGGGTCATTTAGCATTGGAATAATTCATGTGGACACCCGTCTGTGAAAACAAATATCTTTTTGTTTTACTCAAAAAGGGAGGAGTGTTTTTTGCTGTCTTCTTTTTTGAGACAGTATTTTCCCCTCTTAACTTGACTATCCTAGGGGCAAAAGTCTCTCAAGGTAGCTAGAGTATGCACAAATGACAAACTCATAGAGTGAAATGGTTGCATCCAAAAACTGATCAAAAGGTGAATCCACCATACTGATGAGCACTGGTTCTGGGAATCCACTCAGCTGAAAAATGACCCCCATGCTTTTGGCTCTCTGAGGGATGACGGGTCAGTTTTACTGCGAGAAGTCCACAGACACACTGGGCTTCGGACCTGTTGGCAGCATGTTAACACACTGCTTAGATGATTATATAGTAAAAAAAATTTGATGGATAGGATATTTATCATAAGATGATGCTGTAGAAAATCAAGGCGCTTTCTAATGATCACTCTTTGATGCCGTTTGGTAGATTTCCAGTTGTGAAAATTAATACACAAGGCCGTGTTTGTGTCCCCGTATGCTCCTTGGTTAGTGTTTATCAGAGTGTCTGTCACTGACTGAGAAGCCATGTTCCTTCATTCGAGGACTTGGAGCCCAGTGCGCTTCCAGACAGGCCGCCATCCGTTTCTCCCCCAGCCCGATCTCCATGCAGATAAACATTTTCCTTATGCTTTGACATACAGGCTGATGAGAGACACATAGACACTTTAAAAAATAAGACTTGAGTTCTGCTTCTGTTGCTGCATGAAGTATTCAGACAGGTCATTTTAATATATTTTTAGCTCATGTTTATACTGAAAAGATTTAATCCCTTTCCATCAAAATCATCTTAGCAAATCTAGTCATCTGCTTTTATTTTTATATAGTTTCATCTTAGTGAGAATTAGTGTGTGTGATTAAATATCCCTTTGTTTCATGAGTTGTATGTTTTAAACTATACTGTGGAGTTCCATCTTATGTGTACAGGAATGAGGTCCCATAGAGAGCTTAGGGAAGAACCAGTTAAGAGTTAAAGTAACCCTTGACCATGCCGTAACCCATCCACCAAGACCCGGAGACTTGAGGGAAGGGGTAAATGCATCTGTGTTCCTTCATCCTTTCATAGCTAATTTTAATTCCAACTTAGTCACTAATGCTTCTCAGCGCATATCTGGTAACATGGTTGCCTTCTAGGAGGGAGCTGTGTTCCACCAAAAGTAAGTTGTCTTTCAGTTTTTGCCCACCCTACAAGTTCAATGCATGTCCGGTGTGACTCCACAGTATTAACTTTCCAATTGATCTTTTAAAGAGATGGTGGTATTGCCTTTTCTAGTCCTTTAACTTCAAACTCTGGGCAAGGCCTACTTCTCTGTTTGATTGCTTCTGATCTTCCCCCTGCCACAGGTTTCTGGTTAGCTTCATGGTGGATGCCAGAGGGGGTTCCATGAGAGGAAGCCGCCACCATGGGATGCGAATCATCATCCCCCCACGCAAGTGTACGGCCCCCACCCGCATCACCTGCCGCTTGGTAAAGAGACATAAACTGGCCAACCCACCCCCTATGGTGGAAGGAGAGGGATTAGCCAGTAGGCTAGTAGAAATGGGTCCTGCAGGGGCACAATTCTTAGGGTAAGTTTTGCTTACTTTTGGCCCTCTTACCATATGTTTGGTTTTCCTTTGTCCTCATTAACTCAAGGAGTTAACCGTGAAACCGGCTTAGTGGACCTCACTGGGGACCCTTGGATGCAGTGTCAAAGGTCACCAAGCTGTGTAATACACTGACAGTTCCTTAACTCACTTTGCTGGTCAAGGCGCTTACTAACCAGGAAGCATGTTGTCTGCCCCCCAAGCGCGTGGACCCCCGTGCGCTCCCCTGGAAGTCAAGGCACCTTTCTTAGGAAACATTACAGATGCTGGAATTGTATCATCTCACCAAATAAATGGTTACTTTTGGGGACATGTCTTTCTAGAGATAATTTTTAGAGATACAATCTACTGGGGTATGGTATTTTATAAGAAGGAAAAGTGAATTTGCTATGTCCTGTGAGGTGGCACTTGGGCACATCAGGCAGGCCCTGTCGTGACGGACAGTGTGTTCACAATCTCCCGTTCTTTCTCTTTCTGCTGCATGGATGTTATTCAGTAAACTGCACCTTCCCACCAATCCTCCCCCTGTAAATGAGGGTGAGAGCTTGGTTAGCCGAGTCCTGCAGCTTGGGCCTCAAGGGACAAAATTTATTGGGTAGGACCTTTACAGACAAGATTCAGAATGTCTACATTTTTTTTTTTCCCATGTCACATCCATGGTCTTATTCTTAAGTTTCTTTCTTTTTTTTTCTTTTTTTTTTTTTAGTTTTGGTTTTTACTTATGCTTTCAGTCAATGTGTGTCACTGAAAGAAAACACCATAGTGGCTTGACTTAATGTCGCACCGCTGCTGACCTTGTGCTTTCCAGGCATGCAGAGCCCACTGCAAGCATTCCGCTTCCATGACTTTGTGCTTTTGTGAACCTTTCTTTAAGTTGAACTGTTTCTTCTCTATATGATATTTATTGAGACAGACGGTCTCATTTTAACCAGAATAAGAGAAGGTATTTGCAGGCTTTGAATCAACGTTTGCTATCAACAGTGTGTACGTGTGTGTGTGTGTGTGTGTGTGCGCGCGTGTAGACTTTTGGAAAAGTACTTATGGTACTTTGTAATCTTTATGGGTTTTGAGAAGAAAAATAATTACTAATAAGTAAAATGATTTCAAAGTGTTAGGATGCGTGCGTGTGTAGACTTTTGGAAAAGTACTTATGGTACTTTGTAATCTTTATGGGTTTGAGAAGAAAAATAATTACTAATAAGTAAAATGATTTCAAAGTGTTAGGAATACAAGCTATTTTAAGAAACTTAATTGGTAGCAGACAGGATGTTCTAAGTTGCTGAACTGTATTCTTTTGTCTTGTTTAAGTTGAAATGTGTCCCGTTTTGTTGTTTGCTCGTCTGACTGTTGTGTTTGCCTTGGCAGTCTGCATGAAAAACCTGTCATGAAAAGTTCTGCTTGGCTTTCCCCTTGGTCAGAGACCTTGTTCATACCTTCTGTGCAGCAGTGCTCGGTGTACACAAAACCACACTCCCCCAGTATTTACACAGACAGTATCGGACACAATAACCTGCAAAGATTGTATCTTGTTCTCAAAAACTGAAATTTA